GTATTGATACTATTCGTCTTAGGGAATTATCGTGCCAACTGCCTTTAACAGCTACTTTATTGGTATAGTGTCTGTTAAGTGGTCGTCGGTTGGGTAACGATGCTGAATTGTATATCGACGGTGTAAAGACTGGATTGTTATAAGCCAAATACGCTTTTCAAAGCTCCTAGTTACAGATGGAAGAAGGACCTACAGAGCATCTCAATACGACTAGCTAACGAAAAAATCTTGGTCTGCAGTAGAATGTTCTCGAGCTGCTCTCGTTTGTAACTTCTGCGTCGTTGCTTGCTTAATTCGTTGATATTGCTGTGCTTCTCGTGGTAAGCTGAATGTCTGTTCCTTCAACGATCTGACCTTTCGACGTGGTCTTCTTCTACAGGGGCCTAAACGTGTTTTGAACCCTTCATGAACGTTAGGGGGTGAACACTACCCTGTCAAGCGCCCAGCCAGCTCTAGCAGTTCCGATGACTTGTTCGAAACTCATGAAACTGAACAATACTGGGAGCACTGAGCAGAATTTCACCGCAAATCCGCCGTCGTATGCGAGCGTTAGTCAGTAGTGAATGAGATAACCGTATCGTCTCCTTATACGTACACAGTTCATGGTAGCGAGCAGATAAACCTTTCTACTTCGAATTTATCAAAGCCATGAGAGCCTGATTGCTTCCGTGCAAGCTCGCTCAGAAAGGTCTTCGTCCCATACCTGTAACGAGAAAAAACCTTCCAACCAAAAATGTGGGAGGTTTCTCTAAGCGAACTGAGGGGAAGAGGTTCCCAGCATTTCCTAGAACCCTTTATGCATCCATCCTATTTTCGCTTCTGAGAAGCTTCTACGCCCGCAACCACCAACCCGAACGCACCTGAAAAAAAACTACTAACCAATGTTTGTTGTTCCCGTAATGGTAATTTTCTTACAAGTACAGGCTACTAGTAGAAGTCTGGGACGCAGTCTGAAAAGTATTACTGTTCTCTGAAGAATGAAGCAAGGCGCTGTTTGGCTTCGAGAGGACATCCTGCACTTCTCTAGTTCCTTTGGTTGGTCCCTGTTGACTAATAGCTTTCACATTAGACTTGTAAACCCTTGTGAAGCTGCGATATTGTTCGAGTGAGCCACTTCGCCCACTTGGTGGCCTGTACAAGGTTAGCTGAGTACCACACGTTTCCCCACCAAACCGATGTGCGCCATAAGCAAAAGTCTGATAAGGAAAGTGGACCTAATGTACCGCAAGGGTATAACAAAGAGTGCCTTCCGTTTGCGTGGGTATTCATGACGAGAAAGGCACAGGCGAAGCAACATTTTGTTTGCGATAAAATCCTGCCACAGTCCATCCTTTTTGTAGGGGGCCTCCTTTTATAGGCGCCATTGAGCCACAACTTCCTCTAACATATTCATGGGAATCCATTTCAAAAGGTCTCTCTCATTATTGTCTCCTTTTTATCCATGCGCTCTGAATAAACAGTTTTCATGAAATCGATTTTTCAGTCGATTCCATGGTAGAAATTCTTCCAGAGGTCTACGTTTATCCAGAGTGCTTATACAAAACAGCAAAACAATGACAGAAACTGTTCGAAATGAGTTTTCAGGAATATCGAAAAACTTGTGACTCATTGGCCCCTATAAAAGGATGCCCACCTATAAAAGGGATGGGCCGTGGCAGGAATTTATCGCAAACAAAATGTTGCTTGCTCTCACAATTCTGTGCATTTTCGTCATGAATGCCTACGCAAACGGTAAGCCTCGTTGTTATACTCTTGTGGTACTTTAGGTCCACTTTCCTTATTGGGTTTTCGCTTACGGCGCACATCGGCTGGGTGGGGATGCCGTATGGTACTCAGCTAAGCTTGTGAAGAACTCGAAGCTCTTTTGGCCGAGGTGAATGACGCGAACAATTTCGCAGCTTCACAGGGGTTTACCAGTCTGACCAATGTGAAACCTGTTAGTTAACAGGAACAAACCAAAGAAACTGGGAAAATGCAGGATGTCCCCTCAAAGCCAAACAGTGCCTCGATTATCCACAAGAGAACAACGGTGATTTTCAGATTGCGTCCCAGACTTCCACCAGAAGCACTTGTATGCAAAATTCCACAACGGCATTAACAACAATTTGGTTAGTGGGTTTTTTCAGGTGCCTTTAGAGGGCGTAGAAGACTGAGTAAGTGAAATTAGAAAGGATGCCATAAATGATTTTACGGATGCTGGGAACCTTTCCCCCTTAGTTCGTTTAAAGGGACCTCCCACATTTTTAATTTGAAGGCAAGGTAGACATGAGTATGTAGCCCAAGCTCCTCCAACCACTTTTTCATTCATTGATGCCTCTAGATCGTCGGTCGTTCATTCGGCGATACTCTGCGCGTTTGCCACAGCGAGCTCGAGCGATAAAAAACCGGATAACGGCACATTCATACGATGTCATAGGCGGCCTCATTTAGTCATTGTGTCCTTCTAACAGGGTTGAAGGGTTACAGGTATGGGACGAAGACCTTTCTGAGCGAGCTTGCGAGGAAGCATATGGTGAATTAGGCTCTCATGGTTTTGACAAACTCGAAGTAGAAAGGTTCGTCTCTGTCCACTTACCATGTTTATCCTTTATATTTCCTTCAGAACAATAGTGTTGTTAAGGGAGGTACCAAAATCACTCGTAAGATCGAGCAGAATTCAGCGTACCCTCATGCGTGCATATAAAGATAAAGAGGCACAAGTCAATGTCGTGAGTAATAGAAAGATCATTCATTTATTATTCATCGTGTTCATATTCTCCATCAATTATTTTCCTTGCCACCGGAAAAGTGGCAACAAAATGCAGCTTTCCTTCTGGTAGAGAAGTTATTCGGTACACTCCGCGCCAGAAATGAAATACTCAAACACAGAACTGAACACCATTTCCTGCCGTAATCTTTTCTCAACTGCCTCTAGGGCAGATTGGGATCAGAAAGTCAGAATTAATAGTTGTATGATAATGCTGCCGCGCAAGTGAACTATGCAACTAGGGGGTAGGGGAAAAGACCCAAGAGAGCCAACAGTTGGAAAAATTCTCACGACTAGGAAAAGCTCTTAGTGGGGGCGGGTACAATCCCCACCTCCTCAGAGGCAAGTACAACTCGTGAGTTGGAATTCTCTCAACGATGCTCTAACCTAATGGAGAGCTGAGTAACTAAAGAACTACTAAGGTGAAGTGTCTTCTGATCATGGACACATTCAGGTACGCAATCTTCCTGCAGGCACGAAATATGGATGCAACGCCGTGGAAATCGGAGATAAAACGAAAGTTGTCTGTCTTTACGAGAAGCAGTGAACTAAAATTCTCTGCAGCTCCTTCGCAATTAACAAGCAATACGCATAAAGTTTTCTCATTTCCATGTTTTGCTCTAGCGGAAGCAGATACTGGATACTCACCATTTCACTAGGAATGCACTTTTGATGGCAACACGGATTGATCATTAACCGTGTGCGAAACAATTCAACCACAACTGTGGGTGACTGCTGTCAAACTTGCAGGGAGAAAGGGAAGGCAAGGGTCTATCTATTGAAAACAAGAAGAAAAAGTAAAAGTCTAAAACTCCAAAAATGACGACTATTTGGAGCAAACTTTGCGATATGCCTGACAGAAATGTTTCCGTGCGTGATGTTTACTACTAGGCATACTTAGCC